GGCTCAGGCAATCCACTCACCTCAGCTTCCCAGAGGCACGGGATTACAGGCTGAGCCACCAAGCCCGGCTCTAGAACACCCATTTTATAGGCAAGAAGACTAAGGCCCAGGAAGGTGGAGGATCTTGCCTGATGTTGCCCAGGCCGTTGGGCAGTAGGGCGGGTCTGTGCGCCTTCCTCCCATGCCTGGCACAGCCCACCCTTACCTTCTTGACGTTGGCGGTGTACTGCTTCATGGCGATTTTCTCCAAGGCATTTTCAAAGCCAAAAAAGGAGTGGATGTCCAGCGAGGCAGACTGCTCGAAGCAAGTCCAGTCTTCATTCTTGGGGTGGACCTGCAAGCCAGGGGGGTGAGGGCAGAGTCTCAGTGTGGGGGTGCCCTGCCCTCCCCGGGGGCTCTCCTGGTGAGCTGGGCCCAGCCTGACAACACAGCCTGGCAATGCTGGAGGGGGCAGCAGGACCAAGGGCCACCCAATGAACAAAGCCAAGTCTAAATTGTTGGGGGAACAAAGAGCCTTCTCCTGACGGGCCAGGAGAACATGGGATATGGGTCCGACATCTGCACCCCACCCCTTAAGCGTGATATGCATACATGGAATACAGGTGTGGTGGCTCACACCTATAATCCAGGCACTTTGGAAGGCCAAGACAGGAGGATCACTTGAGCCCAGGAGTTCAAGACCAGCCCAGGCAGCATAGCAAAGCTTGTCTCTACAAAAACTTTTAATAGTAGCCGGGTATAATGGCATTCTCCTGTAACCCCAGCTGCTTGGGAGGCTGAGATGGAAGGATCGGCTGAACCCAGGAGGCCGAGGCTGCCGTGAACCGTGATCTTGTTGTGATCAGTCACGGCACTCCAGCCTGGGTGACACAGTGAGACCCCAACTCAAAAAGAAAGAAAAGTATATACACAAGTGATATGCTTAGCATATCATTTATGTACTATATAAGTATATAAATTACATATCAATATATGTAAATTTTCGATGTTTAAAATAGTTATGTTTTGTATATGTTACCTATATAAAGATATATTACATATCCTCATATATCAATAAATATTTATATATGTGTTTAGGAAAAAAAAAACTTCGTTGGCAGCGCTGCTTTTCAGACCGAGAGCTATTCAAACATCTGCTGACAGCCAGGGAGTCTGTTATACATGCAGCTTCCTGGGCCTGCCCCAAGGTATTGCTGACTGAGCAGGTCTAGGGTGAGGCCTGGGAATCTGCATTTTATAAGCAGCCCCAGTGCTGCTGATGTAGCCACTAGGGGAACCCACTTTGTGAAACACCACACTAAAAGGAGATTAAAAAGAACTACTACCCACACCTCCCCCACAGGGGCTGGATGTTCTGAGCACCATTTCCAGGAGGCCCCAGGGGGACCTGAAGGGAGCTGGGGGTGTGGGAAGAAAAAGCAGTGGGTCTCTGCTGGATGCCGGCTGTGAAAATGGCACCATGCTAAGTGCCAGGGACTTGAAAGGTAAACAAGACAAAACAGGTCTAGAAGCATTTCCCAGGGACTCTCGTGGCTATCCCAGGATAAACATCATGAAAACCACCGACGGGGCGGGATCTGCGAACATCCCATTTCACAGATGTGGATAGTGTAGGCCAGGGAAGAGAGGCAGCTTGCCCTGTCACTCAGCAAAAAATGGCAGAGCTGTGTACCTCGCCAATGTTGGCAGTCTCATCACTCCAACTGGGAAGCCAGCGGGACCTGGCCCTGTGGCCTCACCACATCAGACCTGGCTCACACCCTTGGTCTCCACCCATGTTGTTCCCGCCCCAGGGACCCTGTTCCCAGCCCTTCACAGGAGACTCCGGTCCTCAACTCATCATCAGTGGCACCCTCTAAGATGGGACCCTTCCGCTCACTCATGTGATTCCATGCAGGACTCCTTCTTCCATTACAAGTACACTCTGATTGGGTTTTTCCCTGGAAGGAGGGCAGGGGTCAGGCAGACCGGCCCACTGCTGGGTGCCAGCACTTGGCAGGGTGCCTGGCACACAGCAGGTGCTCAGGCAGAATGTCCTAGAGAATGATGATTACTATATTCAAAGATAACATTGATAGAGCGCTCCAAATGTACCACCCTAAGGGGTGTGGAGAGTTTATGTTGCTTCATTTAACCCTCGCGACAATCTATGTGGTAGGTACAATGATTAACCGTATTTTATAGATGAAGAAACTGAGGTACGTTTCACTAAGGGAGGAAAAAAAGGAGAGAGGGAGACAGGAAGGGAGGGGCTTCCAGATTTAACAGATAAACCATAGGATGCCTGGTCACACTGAATTTCAGATAAATGACGGATAACCTTTGAGTATAAACATATCCCATGCAATATTTGAGGTATACCCCCAAAAAGTCACTGGTTGTTTATCTGAATTGCAAAGGCAACCGGACATCCACCGCTCTGGGAGGGTGGAGCGGTCAAGGGGTGCAGCCATGGTGGGGAAGAGGTGGGGGGAGCAGGCAGCGGGGGAGCAGGCAGCGGGGGAGCAGGCAGCGGGGGAGCAGGCGCACCGTGTAGCGGCAGCTCTCATTCACCACCACGCGGCGGGCGAAGGTCTCGTTGTGCGCCTCGATGAGCAGCGTCCTCTCCCTCCAGTTCAAGACGTTTCTCTGCACGAAGACCACGTGCTCGACGCCTGAGATCTGCAAGGGGAGGGGTGGAGGTGCAGGACACAGGGCGAGGAGGGGGCGAGTCCGGAGGCCCACCCCGGCCCCCCCCGGCCCGGGGTCTGTCCCCCCTCTGCCCACCCAGCCTGGGCCGACCCCTCCCTCACCCAGGACCCCAGTCCTCGCCCTGCCGCCCATGCGCCCACCCGTCTTCCCCCCTCCCAGCCCCCAGGCCTCCTGACCCGTTCCCCCGGATCCTGCCCAGTCCCCCCCACGCCCCCAGCCCAGCCTCCCTAGCCCCTCGCCTCCCGCCCCCCCCCCAACGACCAAGACACAGCCGCCCCACCCAGGGACCTCCAGGCACGGCGGCCCAGCTCCTGGTCTCCACCCCCGGCTCCGCTCCAAAACTCGCAACAGCGCCCCCACCCTCCGGGCCCCCGGCCCGCGGCCCCCAGCCTCACCTTCCGCAGCAGCCGCGGGGCGTCCACACGCAGCCGGCAGCTCCGCTCCACCACGTGCACCGCGCCGTCCGCGCTGCGGGACTCGCGCAGGACCTCGCTGCCCAGGAAGACGGGGATCTGCGGGCAGGTGGGGAAGCGCTTCTCGTAGGCCTGGGGGGCAGAGCCGGAGTGAGTGCGGGGGAAGTCTCCCCGCCCTGCGGGGCTGTCGTCTCCTTTACCAGCCAAGAAAGGCGTGCCTGGCCGGTGAAGGTGCGCTGATCGGTCATGACCTACAGTAGCACCATGTGACACCTCTTAGAGTCGCACAGTAATGCTTCGGAAAATAACTTTTGTCTCTGCGTCTGAGCTTTTCCCCTCAGAAGGAAGAGTGGGTCGTTTTAAAAGACAGCATTTCAGCCGGGCTCAGTGGCTCAGCCTGTAATCCCGCGCCTTGGGAGGCTGAGGTGAGTGGATTGCCTGAGCCCGCGGGTTCCAGACTCGCCCGGGGAACTTGGCGAGCCCTCAGCTCTACCATAAATCAGAAATCAGCCGGGCGTGGTAGCGCACGCCTGTAATTCTGGCTACTTGGAAGACTGAGGAGGAAGGATCGCCAGAGCCCAGCAGGTCGAGGCTGCGGTGGCCGGGAGCGGCCACTGCACTCCAGTCTGGGCGACAGAGTGCGACTCCAAAAAAAAAAAAGGCAGCATTTCTCAGAAAAAAGCATTAGAGAAAAACCAACGCCACTGCATGGTAAAACATTTGAATTAGCCAGATGTGGTGTAATCCCAGCGACTCAGGAGGCTGAGGTGGGAGGATCTCTGGAGCCCATGAGCTCCAGACTGCGGTGAGCTATTGCTGGGCACTGCACTCCAGCCTATACAACAGAGTGAGACCCTGTCCCTAAAAAATAAAAATAAATTTCTTTTTTTTTTAATTGAAGTCTCACTCTGTTGCCCAGACTGGAGTACAGTGGCCGTTCCCGGCCACCACAGCCTCGACCTGCTGGGCTCTGGCGATCCTTCTGCCTCAGCCTTTCAAGTAGCTGGAACTACAGGCGCGTGCTACCACGCCTGGCTGGTTTTTTGTTTTGTTTTGTTTTGTTTTTTGAGTTGGAGTCTCACTCTGTCGCCCAGACTGGAGTGCAGTGGCTGCTCCCGGCCACCGCAACCTCGACCTGCTGGGCTCCGGCGATCCTTCCACCTCAGCCTTCCAAGTAGCCGGAATGACAGGCATGCGCTACCACGCCCGGCTGATTTTTTGATTTATTGTAGAGATGAGGTCTCGCTGCCCAGGTGGGTCTCGAACCCGTGGGCTCAGGCAATCCACTCACATTGTAGAGATGAGGTCTCACCAAGTTGCCCAGGCAGGTCTCGAACCCACGGGCTCAGGCAATTCACTCACCTCAGCCTTCCAAGGCGCGGGATTACAGGCTTAGCCACTGAGCCTAGCTAAAATAAATTTTAAAAAATGCAATAAGCTAGGTCTAGAAGGGCACTTCCTCCATGGTGAAGGGCATCTACTACCAACCACAGCTAATAGCCCTGGGGAAAGACAGAATGTTTTCCCCTAAGATCAGGAGCAAGGCAAGAATGTCTGTTTGCCACTCTGTTCAGCATTGTCCTGGAGGCTCTAGCCAAAGCGATTAAGCAAGTGAAAGAGATAAAAGGTATCTAGTTAAAAAGGAAGAAGTAAAACCATCTCTATTTGCAGATGACATGATCTTATATAGAAAAATAATCCCCAAAGAAGCCTCACATGTTCACACCCAAAGATTATAACTAATAGGTGAGTTCAGTAAGGCTGCAGGATATAAAATCAATGTACAACCATCAGTTGTGTTTCTATGCACAAGCAATGAGCAAATTGAAAATGAAATGGGAAAAATTCTATTTACAATAAATTAAAAAGAATAAAATACTCAGGAATGCATTTAACAAAAGATGTGCAAAACTTATACTCTAAACATTACAAAATATTGCTGAAAAAATTAAAGACCTAAATAACTGAAAAGGCATCCCATATTCATGGGTCAGAAAATTTAATATTATTAAGATGGCATTATCCCCCAAATTGGTCTACAGAGTCAACAAAATCTCTGACCACATCCCAGCTGACTTCTTTACAGAAATTGACAAGCTGATCCTAAAATTCATATGGAAATGCAACAGACCCAAGAGAGCCAAAACAATCTTGAAAAAGAACAACATTGAAGTTCTCATAGTTCCTGGTTTCAAAACTCACTGCAAAGAGACAGTAATCAAAACAGTGTTTACTGGCATAAGGCTAGACGTACAGCTCAATGGGATAGAATTGAAGGTCCAGAAATAAGCTCTCACATTTACTGTTCGCTGATTTTTGACAAAGGGTTAAGACAATGGGGATTATTCTTTCAATGGGGAAAGAATAATCTCTTCAACAAATGGTGCTGGGACAACTGGTTATCCATATGCAAAAGAATGAAATTGGATCCCTACCATACACCATATACAAAAATTAACACAAAACGAACCAAAACCTACATATAAGAGTCAAAACTATAAAACTCAAAAGAAACATAGGGGTAAACCTTTATGGGGTAGGCAATGATTCTTACTTATGACACCAAAAGCACAAATAAAAAAAGAAAAGGTAAACTGGACATCATCAAAATTTAAAACTTCAGACCAGGTGGCCCATGCCTGTAATCCCAGCACTTTGGGAGGACAAGGCAGAAGGATGGGTTGAGGCCAGGGGTTCAAGACCGGACTGGGTAACATAACAAGACCCAAAAAGAAAGAAAAAAGTAGCTGGTCCCAGCCACTTGAGAGGCTGAGGCAAGAAGATCCCTTGAGTCCAGGAGTTCGAAGATGCAGTGAGCTATCATTATGCCCCTGCACTCTAGCCTGGGCACCAGAGCAAGACCCTGTCTCAAAAATAAATAAATAAATAAACCTTTGTGCTTCAAAAGATGCAAGCAAGAAATTAAAAAGGTAACCCAGAAAATGGGAGAAAATTTGTGTAAATTATGCATACCTTTGTGCATATATGTATCTATGAAATGGGGGACTTCTATCTAGGATATATAAAGAACTATTAAAATTCAATAATAAGTGATAACCCAGTTTAAAAATGAGCAAAGAATCTAAATAGACACTTCTACAAAGAAAATGTGCCAGTGGCAAATAAACTCATGAAAAGATGCTCAACATCATTAGTCATCAGGGAAATGAGAATCAAAACCACAATGAGAAACCACTTCACATGCTCCAGGATGACTATAGCAACCGCAGCAACAAAGACAGATGATAGCAAGTTTTGTGAGGCTGTGGAGAAATTGGAATCTACATACCCTGCTGTGTGAATGTAAAACAGTACAACCATTTTGGAAAACAATCTGGCAGCTCTTCTAATGGTTAAACATAGAGTTACCATAGGACCCAGCAATTCTACTCCTAAGTATATGCCCAAGAGAAATGAAAACATAGGTCCACACAAAAATCTGCAAACTAACATTCACGGCAGCATTACTCATAATAGCCAAAAAGCAGAAACAACCCAAATGTCCATCAACTGATGAGTGGATAAATATATTGTGGTCTATCCCTACAATGGAATGCTATTTGGCCTTAAAAACCAACAAGGTACTGACACCTGTCACACAACCTGATGAACCTTGAAAAATTATGCTGAGTGAAAGAAGCCAGACACAAAAGGCTGCATGCTGTATGATTCCATTTCTATGAAGTGTCTAGAAAAAGCAAATCCACAGACAGAAAGTAGATTAATGGTTGTCTGGGGCTGAGAGTGGGGGAGAGGGGACATGTCGGGGGGCTGAAGGATAAGGGCCAAGGGGTACAGGACTTTTTTTTTAGGTCATGAGAATACCCTAAAACACTTTGGCGACAGTTGTGCAATGCTGTTAATATACTGAAAGCTGTGGAGCTGTACACTGTAAATGATGGATTCTACAAAGAGCGAATTATCTCTCAATAAAGCTGATTCTTAAGAAAAGAGGGTGTCTTTCTCTCTCTACGTGTATGGGTTTACACACACACACACACACACACACACACACACACACACACACACATGAATTCACATATATACATATACCTACTATTTAAATATATTGTGTATATAAATATTTAAAATGTACACATTTTAAGAAAGGAAAAAACTATTAAAATTGTCATCATTAATAAGATGAATACAAGTTTGACTTTTGCAATTACAAGAGGTGCTCAAAGTGGTTATCATCAGTCTCCAGACACTTCTGATTATGGCAAACATCTCTTAAAATGTGTATACTTTTTTAAGCACCCCCAGTATATGAGTATGTTAATATAAACTTATACAATTTATACAGGGTATGCTTATACCTTTACATACACAATGTAAATATCATGTTTCTATATATGAAAATTTTAAAATGTATATACATATACCTTTATATAATTGTATAGATTCACAAAAATTTTATTTTATATATAGTATGTTCATAAATATATATCATGCATAAATATATAATATGTATATAAATACATATAAAGAGGTATAATTACATATATGAAGACTTAAAATGTCCATATGTAAATATATAGGTAGTTTAAATAAGGAGCTAGTTTTACCTGTGGAAATGTTTATTGTAGATATAAAATGCCTGTGTCCACATAAATATTCAGCAGTGTGCTTCCTACACCACAGCGGGTCTCCCCAGTGGACAGCACAGTTCAAGCACATCCCAGTCCCACCCTTATGAGCTGTGTGACCTCGGGTAGGTTCCTTAACTTCTCAGTGCTCTATGGCACAAGGTTGTCATGAGAAGTGAGCAAACCAATGCAGACACTGGGGAGGGGACAACTGGGATCATTCCCTGCATGGCTTCTCCGGTGTCTCAGGGTTTGGCACTGAGCACAGGACATTGCTAGGCTGGGTTCCACTGCACTGTCCTTCAGAGGGGAGGGCCCTTGCTGTCCTCAGAGCCCCTGAGGTCAGGCTCTGTGTCAGGCCACGTCCTTCTGTGGGGTGCTGTCCTCCCAAGCAGGGTACAGAGCCCCCTGAAGCTAGCTGGAGGGGCCTGAGCCCATGAGGATGGCAAGGGTCTGTGCCCCATTCTAGAAGAGCCAGGGGGAGAGCTGGTGGGGGCGTGTCCTGGCCCCGGGTGGCTGGCCTTATTCATCCTGCGAGCAGGGTCTGCGCCTAGTGCCTGTCACAGCCCACATGCCCCAAAACTGGGACCAACACAAGCTCCAAAAATATTGCCGGCATCCGAGGACAGACACCTCCTCTAGTCCTCCACCTCTCCCTGGGCTCCTGGGAAGAGAGGCGGGGACTGGGCCAGGAAGACATGGAAAAACACCCCGGGTTCACCAGGGTCAGGAGGACAGAGCTGCCTCCTGCTGTGACAAACACACCTGCATCAGCATAGGAAGCCTGGTTCTGAGAGAATGCACCTTGTGGCTCCTGGGCCTGGGCTTAGAGGGCTGGGGGAGGAGGCCCCTGAGAACCCTGTGGGTTTCCCTGTCTCCACCCTAGACCCTCCTTCAAAGGAAGACCTCTCCCCACTTGGTAGGGAACAGGCACCAAAGAGAGCCTGGCAGCTCAGGCCTGGAGGGAGGCCCAGCCCCACCTGATCCCAGACAGGCTGGTCCCTTCCTTCCCCGGGCCTGTTTCACCATCTGGAAAATGGGTGCATGTCTCTCATATACTTGCCTCTCAGAGAACACAGCCAGGTGGAGTATCTCCCCACAGGAAGAGCCCAGGCAGCAGGGCTTGAAGGGCAGCACAGCCCGCGACAGGAACTGACTCCCATCACATGCAGGGCAGCCAGTGGCAGGCTCGGGTCCACCTCCATGTCGGGCTGACATGGAGGGCAGGGAGCGTGTCTCCATGTGGGTCAGGTCAGCCCCAGCCTCTGCTACTTTCTAACTGGGGGCCCTTGAGCCAGTCCCTTGCCCTTTCTGAGCCTCTGTGTGCCCATCTATAAAATGGACTGGTGCCGAAACTGTCTCCCGATGGAGTCCTGAGCTATCAGCTCCCTGGGTTTTGGAGGCACTCCCTCAGTTATGTGCTCCCTTTTATTTCATCCTCTGGATGGTGTCTGCATCTGACAAGTGAGGAGACCAGAGCCCAGAGAGTCTCACTAACTTGTCCAAGGTCATGCTGTGTGGGCTGGTGAACCTGGATTTGAGTCCCAGCTGGGCCCAGCCCCACCCCCTCCAGGAGCTTTTGCTCAGTAGCTGGGTTTGTTCTCAGGGCAGCTCAGACACAGAGCCAGGCACTTTCCCCAGGGCTGTGTGGTTACCTCTGCTTCGTCCTGGCAGCAGCCACACCACCCCTGGGCTTCTCTCTTGCCCCTGACTGTTCTTCAGGCTCTCTCCTGTTCCCCAGACGAAATGATTTGACAGGGGGGTATCCTCAGGACAGGCCTTGATGCCAGCATACTCCACACTCCTTCCTGCAGTCCCCAGCCCCCTCCCCCACCCACCTGCTACCTCGCTCCAGCCACGCTGGCCTTGCTGCTTCTAGAGCACATCAAGCTTGTCCCTGTCACGGGGCCTTTGCACTTGCCATTCCTAACGCTCGAAACGCTAACCAATTCCCTTGACAGCGCAGGGGGAGGGAGGCCTGAGTCTCTGGGGCTTCCTGGAGGGATAGGAGACCTGGAGGAGGGCCGAGGAGATGCCTGAGCTTCAGGGCTTCATCCATGCAGGTCCCTCTTCCAAGGACACCCTCCCTGTACCCACTTTGCACAACTGCCTCCTCCCCTGCCCTCCATGCTTTTTTTTTTTTTTTTTTTGAGTTGGTCTCAATCTGTCACCCAGAATGGAGTGCAGTGGCACGCTGCTGGCCACCACAGCCTCGACCTGCTGGGATCCGGCGATCCTTCCACCTCAGCCCTCCAAGTAGCTGGAACTACAGGCACATGCTCCCTTGCCCGGGTGGGTCTCGAACCCGCGGGCTCAGGCGATCCACTTGCCTCGGCCTCCCAAAGAGCTGGGATTACAGGCTGAGTCACCCAGCCCAGCCTACCCTCCATCCTTTTGCCTGTTCACTTCCTGGGCAGTGCTCATCATGCCTAGCGACAGTGAACCTGCTTGCTTGTGGCGTGTGGAAGCCCTGGGCTTTGGGGGAGGGTCACAGCTTCTCCTCAGGACACCCCCATGCCTGTGCCCGCTCAGTCCCTGCACACCTTCGTGGCTAACAGAGAAACGCCACCCAACAAGGAAGGAAGGAAATCATCGACTTGCCGATGGCCCTGACAGCCCCAAGAAGGAGTCCAGGTGGGGGAGAACAGGGCCTAGCCTCAGCACACGCAGCCAATCAGGGGCCAGAGTTCCCCAACTCGCCTATCATAGCTGCCCTCTTGTCAGAATAGCCTGGTCTGGAGCCCCCAGATAACGGGCATGGAAATGGGGGGTGGGTGGCTTGGACACAGTCCTCCCTGACTGCAGAAGGAAAGGCGCTGCCTTCTCCCAGTAGCCAGTGGCTGCTCCCAGGGTCCCATGTATGGGGAGACCTCAGACTCGCTCTGCAGGGTGTCCATCCCAGAGCCACTTGTCCAGCAGGAGAGGACCGTTGGGACTGTTGGACACTTTGACACCAACGTCTATGAAGTGCTGCCTGTATAATTTCATCCTCACCAGGCCCTGATGAGACGGGAACTAGCATTTCCCCATTTTACAGATGAGTAAGTTGGGGCTTGCCCATCTGTGGCTTGCCCAGTGGTATGTGGCCAGGGAGTGGTGGGGTTGGAGCACAAGCCTGTCTTACTCGACCCCAGCCCCTGGTCCCCTGGCCTGCCTCGGAGGCTTTGGCCGCATCACAGTGTCTGGTTTGGAAACGCCTATTCCCACTGGCCTGCAACTCACGAGTCAGGCATCCTAGAGAAGCAGCAAGGGCCCGGGTGGGCCATAGGTGGGACTGGGGGTGTGAGAATGGGGTCCAGGTCCTCACCAGGGAGGAGGTGCATGGTTGGGCAGGGACGGGGAGGAGACTCGCAAAGCCATGCTCCACCTGCTGGCCCCAAGCCTCATCCTCCTGCAGCAGGGAAAATGGCCACCACAGGGAGGAAAGCAGCTTCTTCCAGCCTGGGATCCCTGGGAACAAAGCCTTATCTCCAAACCCCATGACAAGTCCGTGTCCCACAACAAGTCACTGGGCGGATGTTCACAGCAGGCGGCCAGTGGGGCAGGACATCTTCCTTTCATTTTGTGCACTAGTGGGATTAATGAGAAACAAGAGGTGGTGTCTGGATAGCTTCCAGCTGCCCAAGCCTAACCATCATTCTGGTACCACCAATAGCTCGTGCATACACTGGGCTCACTGAGCACCAGGCCCTGATCCCAAGGAAGGAGGTGGTGTTCATCTACCCCATTTGATGGATGGAGAAACCAAAGCTGTTTCTCCTGGAAGCTGAAGTAGGGTCATGGACCCCATAAGACCCTGGATCCCTAGTGCTTTGCAAAATGCCTAGCACATAATCGACACTCAATAGACACTTACGAGGAGGGATCCACAATAACCCAGAATTATCTTTTGGAGAGTGAGTACAGTGTAATACACTCAGAATTTGTTCCTCTGGACCAGTCAACCAAAGATTTTATCTGGAAATTTTGAGATGGTTGCATCATGATTTGCAGAAGAAACGTCCTGAACTGTGGCAGACAACTGACTGGTTCTTCCACCATGACAACACATCTGCCCACACTACACTGAGTGTTCAGCAGTTTTTGACCAAAAATGACATGACCCCTATGCCCCACCCTCCCTTATTACCTGGTCTTGCCCTGAGTGACTTTTTTGTTTGTTTGTTTCACTGGATGAAAAAGTCCTCAAAGGGAAACATCTTGCCATGTGGAAGAGGTGAAACAAAAATGGCAGAAACATTCAAAAGCATCAAAATTGACAAGTTCAAAAACTATTCTGAGCAATGGAAAAAATGTCTCACTAGATGTACTGCATCAAATGGAGAGTACATTGAAGGTAACTGAAGTTTAAACACGTAAGAATAAATACACAATTTTTTAACAAATAAATTCCAGGATTTTTAGGTTTCCCCTTGTACATGATGAACAAATGTCTTAACCAGAGAAGTTAAGTCACTTGCCTGCAGTCACACTGCTTGTGAAGAGCCAAGCTAGGATTTGACCCCCCCAGCAGTCAGACCATGGGGTTGGGATACTGTGTTGTCTCTCAACCTAGAGAGTGTCTTTCCTCTGAAGGGCAGCCCAGGACCCAAGTCACTTCTGAACAGGCAGGAAGCTTGGCTCATACTCTCAGTTCATGTTCAGCCCAGGCCTGACCCTTCTCTTCCCCTGCTCCTCGGACAGGCCCCCACAGTTGAAAATGTGTCTGTCTCCCCAGCTCAACTGTGGGCACCTCTGAGGGTCCAACTTCTTTTCCTGGGTAGCCCCTTCCTGCATTGGGGTCAGAGAAGATAGTGAATAAATACTGACTGGATAAAATTCAAATGCCTGCCATGTGGATAGGGACTTTGCCTAGGAGGAACAGGGAGCCCCCAAAGGTGATAGAGTGCCTCACCTGGCAGGTCCCAGGCACCACCCACAAGAATCACATCATGCACGTTAAAATATATCCACCTGCCGTGGTTTACATATGCATGGCCTCATCAGAGTGGCGGGCCAGATGACAGCTGAGAATAAGGTGGCATTTGGTAGACATTAAATCAACATTTATTCATTTTATTTTATTTTTTAATTTCAGAGACAGGATCTCTTGCTCTGTCACCCAGTGGTGCAATCTTAGCTCACTGCAACCTCCATCTCCTGGGCTCAAGCTATTCTCCTGCCTCAGCTTCCTGAATAGCTAAGACTACAGGTACATGCCACCATACCAGGTTGATTTAAAGGTTTTTTTTATTCCAAAATCTCTATCCTGTTCCATTGGTCTATGTGCCTGTTCTTGTACCAATACCAGGC